AAAACATCAAATATATCCTTGAACAATGATTTAATATATAATTTACCCCAAAAGCTTTCTAATTTTTTTTATCATTCGAAGTATTCGATTGCAAAAAATTGGAAAAATTATAAAGTTTTTGGAATAAATTAAATATAAAATCATTGTTAATGACCTATTTGATGTTATTGTGACCAGTTTGTTACTTTTAAAACTTCAATTAAAAAATAAAAACTTACTCAAACATTAGTAGCCATTTATATAGTTTACCCTTTTTATTTTATAAATCCATTGTTCCACGCCGGCCATCCGTTAAAGGTATAATGACAGTTAACTCCCAGTAACTACATCTTAATTAAATAAAAAAATGTAACCAAATCTTATGTTTTTTGGTTCAATGAAGAAAAATGTACAAAACTTAAACGAAAGTGATCAATTCTGTAAGTTACCCAAAAAATTAAAATGTTTAGTTTTAGAAAATATTTTTAAATTTTATTTTTATTTTAAAAATTAAATTTTGTATCATTTTTAATTGATTTTAATATAAATATTGCATATTTCATTTGAAAGATGTATCAAATTAGTAAAGATGTATTCTATAAAATGTATCTTTCGAAAGATGTTTTTTATAAGTGTAATTAAAAAATAAATTTCCAAATTATATTTCTTAATTTTTTGTTAAAGACATGTTTAACATTTATGTTATCATTTAAGGTGTCATAAATTTTAGGATAAATTATATTGCTAGTCCCTTATGTTTTCCGTTTGATTGATTTTGATCGCTAGTTAAAAAAAGAGTGGTTTTGGTCCTTACATTATCGTTTTGTTCAGTTTTAATCCTTCGATAGCTAACTTCAGTTAATCCCTTAATGGAAGTGTTACGTAACAATTAAAAAAAATCATGTGTTCATGTCTTCTCCTCCTCTCCTACTCTTCCTCCGCCATTAAAAGTGTGACCAGCCATTAAAACTTGCTCGTCGGTTATACTGTCAACAGTTCTTTAATTCTTTAAGCTTGACTGAGACTTTTCCTCCCAACCATGGGAATGGCTCAGCGAATGTTGATGTTCAGATTTCAGAAGTTAAATTCTATACTATGATCTGCTCTTTTATCATTCTAGCAGAGAAGGATTATGAATGAACTCAAACTAGAAAAAAATATATACTCTTATAAACTAACCACAGTTGCAAAATATATATTAATTATTGTGAGGAGCAAGGAGTTTGTTTCTCAACCAAGGGTTTTTGAAGTGTCGGTTCTGGATCCCCAGTCATAAACGAAGTCTTAATACATACAAAAAATTGCTGCAATGGCCGATACAATCCCAACTATCACTCTCCATCCAATTCTCGTGTTAACGTGGTAAGTTGTTCTCAAACAAACAGCTATAGTGGTGAGGAAATATTTGAGTCCATTGTATCATTGGACCGGATTACTCTCTTCGAACGGGCGACGCAAGCATTGGAGGAGACGGTCCATGTACAGAAACACTGCCACGTGAATACAAAGTCTGGTACAACATTCCTGAAAACATACAGAAGTTATAATGTGATAAGAGTGGAAAGTGAAAGTGAAACGGAGAGTGGTTTAGGAAGTAACAACCGCAATGAGAGGCAATGAGTGTTTAAGAGTGACTCGTGGTTTAGCCAGTTCAGGAATGGCTTCAATTCTTAGACGGCTAAATATATCTATTCTTTGATCTTTCTGGTTTAGAATTTGCTGGCTTGGACTGTTCGAGATTATGGCCGCAATGCCTTCCCTGAAATGGAAAGGAAGTTGCTTGTTTGCAACTTCATTGTTTGTCAAAATGTTACGTGGACTACACCACTTGCTTCTGTATTTGCCATCAGTTTTTTTAGGGTATAGCTCTATGATAGTAATGTCAATAATATTAATCAGCATGTATGTGGGAATGTAGTTGCAGAACTGAAGAATTGCAAAGGTGGTCGTGGTTGTTTGGGCACCGAAGGAGTCCTACGTGTGAGCTTGGGATATTTTGTATCCTCAAATCATTACCATTTACATACATGCGTGTACTGACGGGATAACAAATTTTTTAACGAACATTAACAGTTAATTACATTAAATGATAAAGAAATAAATGTTAGACACCTAAAGTAAATAATAGGTATAATATGAACACTAATATATCAATTGAGTTATTTATATGTAACACGTTCCTGAAAAAAAAGAGGATACCATTTGATTAAATGATAACAAAATTATTCGTACATTATTATCAGGATGTATATTTGATCCAAACTTGTTAGATTTTGATATGACTTAACTTAACCTAATAGTTTTTTAAATTAAATTTGGGTCAGATTGAGATAAAATCGAATCATATTTATTTTCAAGGTGAAAATACTCGACTCAACCCACGATAATATTATATTTATCCTTAATATATTTATATATAATTACAATAATATCACTCTTTATATTATTATTTTTAATTATGTCTTTATATTATATATATATGGGTCGTGCCATGTGTAAATTTTTATCTCAAAAATTGGATCAAAAATCAATTTAAATGAAACTCTCTTAAATCTGGATCAAAACAAATACAAGTAAATGAGTTTAACTTTTAAATTAAACCAGACCCGAATTTTATATTATTACAATAATATAGAGGCATAACTATTGAAGGACTAGAGGAGGCCATCAGCCCCTAATATTTTAGGATAAATTATGTGTTTAGTATCTAACCTTTTAATTTTTTAAAAAATATACCTAACATTCAATTTTTGTTTAGTACCTCAAAAAACTTAACAAGTGAATGGGGTAAATTTCATCATTCATGACTCAATTATATTCTCACTCTTATTTTGGTCACTATGTTTAATTTTTTTAATTTAATGACTTAACTTTCAAATTACTCCTAATTTAATCACTCTAACTTATTAAAATATATTTTTGGTATAATCACCAATATCTAATTTATTAATCGATTAATCTAGATCGGGTACTGTATAAGTGAAAGCAACCCTCCCAACTCAATTTGCTTTATTCGCAAACGTCATAATTTGAATCTCTGATCTTGCTAAGGGATCTAATCTCTCATCTCATTAGACCAACTTATTATTGGTACATAGTTATATATATTAAATTCTTGAGTTGATCCCTTTAAAAGTGTATATAGTATGTTATTAAATTTAGTTATCCAATAAAATGTGTATACTACTTTAAAATTTGGAAACTACTGCTTCAAAATTAGTTAACATTTATTAAAAATAGTTAACTTTTATTTTCTTGTATTCTTATTTTATTTTTAAATAATGAAAATATATTTTCTTTTATTTTGATTTTAAGATACATTTTTTTATCTTTTTGTTGTTCATCTTCTTTAAGTTGAGGACTTCAATCAAATTATTAAATATTTAATTTTTAACTTCATTTGAGTTGAAAGTCATAAAATATTTTAACTAATATATACATTTTCTGAAATGACCTTCTAAGAAATAATGTTGAGTTCCTTCATTGATAATATATGACTCTTATATATGAGTTGGATCATATATAGAATGAATAAATATGTCACTCTTATATTATATTTTTAATTATGTCTTTATTTTATTATTATATATATATCTATGAGTTGGGTCATTTACAAATTTGTATCTTAAAAATTAGATAAAAGTTCAGTTTAGATTATTTTTTTAAAATTCAAATCAGAATAAATACAAGTAAATGAGTTTAATTTCCAAATTAAATTATTGTCAGAAAAAAACCCACCCGACCCGGCGTTTGGTTCGTTGGAATGTTTATGAGGGAATTGGAATATGTGAAGGAATTGGAATCTGTCAGGAATTGGAATCCAATTTCATATTCTGTTTGGTTCGCAGACATGTTAGATGAATTTGATTTCAGTAATGTAAAATGATAGAATTGTACTTCTTATTTTTTTTGCTTTATTTTAGTTTGTTTTACAACTTACATGTGTAATATATTATAAAAAATTAAAAAATATTAAATTTTCATTTTATTAATTGATTATTTATTTTAATAAATTATAAAAATCATGCTAATAAACATCATAAGTTAAAATCATCGCAATCAAAATATGTTAATAAGTTACCAAAAGATATATCAATATTTCGATACATTCCAATCGGAGTATGTTAATTAGTTACCAAAAAATATACCAAAAACAATTTTTATTCAGTATATGAATTAGAAACCCGACCCGACACAAAATAATAAAAAATTTATTTTTATTTAATAAAAACATTGACTTAATTGGAAAAAAAATTATATATAGAGGGTTATTATTGTAATTATTCCTAAATATATAAGGTAAAATTATATTTTTTCGGGTCGGTCCAGTTTTTTTCACCATAAAACCGAACCCGACCCAAATATCAAACTTAAAAAGATCCGACCCGAATATCACACTTAAAAAAACCGACCGACTCGACCCGAATATCACACTTAAAAACCCGACCCGACCCGAACAAAATAAAGTTTCACCCGACCCGAGCCAAATATATGAATTAGAAATCCGACCCGACCCGAAATAATAAAAAAATTATTTTTATTCAATAAAAACAATGACTTAATTGAAAAAATATATATAGAGGGGTATTATTATAATTATTCCTAAATATATAAGGTAAAATTATATATATTTTCGGGTCGGGTATTTTCACTCTAAACCCGAACTCGACCCGACCCGAATATCACACTTAAAAAAACCGACCCGACCCGACCCGAAATAATAATAAAATATTTTTATTTAATATATGAATAAATTATCAAAAGATTAATGATGATAGTATAATCAAATTTCAATTCCCTCCAACAAATAAATTGAATTTCATTATTCTTAAATTAAATTCATTTTTTCTCATTTCATAAAAAATTGAAGTCACGAGATATTCCAATTCTATTTAAAATCTTAAAACAAACAAAAAAATAATAATGAAACTGAATTTCAATTCCCTCAATTGAAAGGATTTCATCCAACAAACGCCACCTTAAACTATTGCCGTTGAATTTCCCTCCAAATTTTATTCTTACTCGCGCTAATATTTTCAGTTTCATTTTAAAGAAAATTAATTCCAAATTCCTTTGATCCCTGGATTTTGGAATATTCAATTTAAATTTCCTCTCTAAATATTCCTTGTTAATTATTTGTTTCAATAATCAAAATCTTCAAATCAAATCTTCTCACTCTGATTTGTTTTATTTACCACATAGATCAAAAAATGGAGAAAAACATTAGCTGTTCTTTCTCCGATTTGTCTTCAAATCTCGGAATCTCTTGCTTCATCGCCTTCATCACAATCATCTTAGTCCGAGTTATTTATGTAATTTATCGAACCGGCAAGCCGCTAAGTAAAAGATCTCCGCAGGCTCTCAGCACTCTCATTGTTTTAGGTTCAGGTGAGCTTCAAATTTGTTTCCTTATTTGACTGTCAAATTTACGATGTTTGATTATGATTTCTCGGCATAGGAGGGCACACGGCGGAGATGATTAATCTCTTGTTAGTTTTGCAAAAGGATCGATTTACGCCGAGGTTTTTTATCGCGGCTGCTACTGATAATATGAGTATTCAGAAAGCTCGCGTGTTGGAGAGTTCCTGGGCTGATTCGGTAAAATTGGATGCTTAAAATTTTCATTATGTTCTTGATTGCTATTAAGATTTTGTTTATTCCTTTTTTCTTTATTTGATTTCATTTTGTTTACTGTGATTTTTTGTTCTTGAGAGTACATTTTGTATATATTTATTTAGTGAAAGTCTGTTGAATTATTATTAGTTAACGATTTTGATATTCTTTTTTGGTACTTCTCCCCTTATATGTAAATGCTGTTAATTTTCTTTGTATATTTTACAGAAAAATTAGCTCTTTTTTTGGAATTGCTGTTAGCATCACAAATGATTTGCATAGTTAACCAATGTTCTAAATGAGATCCTGATTGCAGACCCTGAAGTATGATATATTGGACAATCTAGGCTAACTGCTGTCTAAACAATTAGATCCAACAATATCTTACCGGCATAAGTATCTTTTTAATGTACTATTCAAAATCTTTTGTCTGTCTTGTTTTTTAAATTTCATTGGCTGATTTCAGATGTTGTTGGCTACTTTTTTTTTTAATCTTTTCTACTATTATTAGTTTTTAAAATGTAAAGTTGAAAAATGAGTTCGACAATGGACAATGAACTGCTTGCATAGTTGTGCTTATTATTAAGTAGAACTATGTTTCATAACCATTTTCCTGTTTTTCTAGTCAAATAAGAGGTTTCCTTCTTAAATTTATTTTAACAGCAGAGTGGAGTCAAGGGAATCTCTGCAGAGTTTATGCAAATCTATAGAAGCAGGGAAGTTGGTCAGTCATATATAACCTCTGTTTGGACAACTTTAGTTGCCATGGTTCATGCATTGTGGCTGATGATTAAAATCAGACCTCAAGTGGTATTTTTCTGTTTATTTTGTGTTTAACATTTTTTCCTTCCAATTTTGTTATATTTACTAAAAAATGATGCTAAAAATGAAACTTCTTGTTATAAACCTTAATTGCAGGTTCTTTGCAATGGCCCTGGTACTTGTTTTCCTCTATGTGTGATTGCCTTCATTTTCAAGGTTTGTTTGTTTGCCTTTGAAGCCATTTTATTTTGTATTACATTTCTCTCTTTTGATAGAACTAATGAAAATTTTCCTACCATAGAAAAAAAAAGATGATAAAGTCAAATGCTTCTACATATAAAAAATTGGAGTTAGCCATTTTTCTTGTAATTTTTTCTTTCAGGTGATTGGGATTAGATGGTCATCCATATTTTATGTTGAGAGCATTGCAAGAGTAAAAAGACTCTCTTTAAGTGGTCTGTTGCTTTATAAGCTACGGATTGCAGATCAGTTCTTTGTGCAATGGCCACAACTTCATAGAAAATACCCTCGAGCTCATTATGTTGGTTGCTTGATGTAGTGAATTGAGTCTGCTGCTGATGATTACTCGTACTTAACCGTATAGGTTCTCTTTTCTTTTTCCTTTTCAGACAAATATTGTATTCTGCATTCTAAAGTTTCTCTTCACTTCCTCTTGATTAGGATTTAGTATTTCCTGGTTGGGTTGGATTGTTTACTGCAACATGATCTAACATGGACCATAATATTTGGCCAAAAGGAAAAAGTGATAGAATGTGATATGATTGTCTTGAATTGTTGATACTATTAATTGCTGTTGCACATTGACAAAGTCATGTTAGATAATAAATTACTAGCAGGTCGTTTCACAACCTGCATATTAAGTCCTTAAATTCTTTTGGCAAATAACTTCTCAGGAGTGAGTTTCTAGTTCAATATTTCAGAAACATTTGCATGTGTTTCTTTGTTTAGAAGCCTTTTGGATGAGAGTTCTGTGAGTGAAAGCATCAAGGCACATCAAGCCGACACTGGCAGTGCATGGTACATGTACATGAATGCATATTTCCTTTTGAAGACTTTGGTGTGCTGGACCAGTTATCATATATCAGGACATAGTTAGTAGAACTAGAGAATTGATTATAAAAAGAGGAAACTTTTGTGAATGAAGGGAATTGTTGATAGTGGAAGGTGTAAGAGCCCAATAGAATAAATCAAAGCCATTCCCACCTTTGCAGTCCAACTTTTAGGTGGTGAGAGGTAGTTAAAAGGAATGAGAATTGAGAATTCTGCAATTTGCACAATTGTTGTTACCCATATGCTATTCCCACCTTTTTCGTGGTATAGTTGTCCCATGAATGAATGCTGACTGGTCAAATATTATGAAACATGATTACATGAAGATGAGATCCACCACTTATGGTTTCCGGATTAAGTGCTCCTCAGTTTCTTGCTATTCAGCCACTGAGGTGAGTTTTCTTAATTTATTGAATTGTTAAGAATCATTACTGATGGGCAAATTGAGTTTTTGCTTCCATCAGTGCAGATGAGTTAGATTTTGGGAGGTATAAAAAGTTGTTAACTGTGAAGGTTAATTTAATTTTAGAAACTACAAATTCTTTTAGGTTCTAAACTGGTTGCTTAATCTCTTTATTTACGGATAAAAACATATGCTTCATGCAATTAGTGAATTGATTGACCATTTGTTTTCTTTGGTACATCTTGCGTGACAGTACTTAAGCTCTAGCATCATTATTTTTTTTCTGATACACCTTGAAACACAATGCTTTTACCAGAGGAAGCTTTTAAGCTTCGCTATGAACATTTATGTTGTGTTCACTCTTAGACTAACCTATCCAAAGTAGTCTTCCCCACAATGTAGCCCCTGACTGGCCACAAAGCATAGATTAAACTAACCTATCCAAAGCCACCGAGTATAGTTTTTGGATTTAGCCGTCATTGGTTGATTCGTTGAAACCATAGTTTGTTCCTTCGATGTGGTTTCTTCAATCTCCTGAACTGGTAAGAAAATTACACGAAGGATTCACTTAGGGTGCATGGATCATTGTAGGTGAAAATTAAAATTAAATTTAATGATCTAGAATCTACATTATCCTTTTAGAAGCTACTAAATTAATTATAATATCTTTAACATAATAATATTTTTTATATAATGTTTAAATTTGATATAATCTTCTTAAATATAAAATTTTAAAAAATATTTGAACATATTTACATTTATATCTTTTAAATCATTGTAATGATTATAGTACGATAGAGTTAAGCTCTAATCTAAATACAAATATTCTTATTATAAAGGGGATAATAATTTTGATAATGACAATAATTTTGATTTGATTAATGCCAAAAAAAACACGATAAAATAAAAGCTAAACAGAAAAGCAAATCACGCAGAGAGAAGAAAGAAGAAGAAAAGAAGCGCCGATTCCACGAAAAAATGGTCAAAGCTGGGTGAGCCCCACAGCTTCTTATATATCACGCGTGCATGGTGCATCCAACCGTCACTTTCCCTTCCGCATGACACGGAAACGCCCTTAATCGAACGGTTCGTATCTCACCGTTTCTCACCCCAAGCTTCACATATCTACAAATATATATATATATATAGAGGGTAAACTACATGTTTGATCACTCACCTATTCTTTAACTTTTATTTAAATTACTCAACTATTTTTTTTAAAATCATACTTAATCTTATCTTATGTTTTATTTTGGTTACTCATCTTTAGGTTTTATTGTTGACTTTAACATAAATAATGATGTGACATGATATAATAATAATTATAATCTTTAAAATTTACACATCTATCAAATTGGTCATAACTATAAACAATTTTAAAAAATATCTAAAATTTAAAAATTTTCTCAATTTAGTCCTCATTTTATTTAAAGTAATTTAATAATTCAATAAATTTAAACCTTTAACAAGATGATGACACATGTCAAAAGTTAAATTATTTCAATTCAAACGAAAAAAATCTATTTTTACCTTCTTTTAAAACCTTGTATCTTGTTCTAAAATCCTAGTTACTCTTCACTCACTCCCTTCTTTTTGAATCTAATAATTGATTGTCCCTCCTTGTCAGTCATCCAACAACCCAACTGTCATCCATCACAAATCCCATTGTCGATTGAAGGTTATGCAACTATAAATCCCGAACATCTTTCGAAATCCTATCCTTTATACCAAAATCCTAGTTGATCGCCTTGCCCCTCCTCATCAGTTTTCAAATCCACAAACTTCGTCCATCACAAACCCCTTTTATCGATTGAGGATTATGCAACCTAACGACGATTATAAAATTACATTTTTCAACACCACAATTACTTATCCCCTTCGTCACTCATTCAACTCTCTAAATGTCATCCATCACAACCCTTATTGTTGTCGTTGAATTATAAAATTATTCCAAACTAAAATGAGGGGTCAATTGATAAAAATTAAAATATTGAGGTTTCATTGAATTATTTTAAATTGGAGTCAAATTGACACAATATATTTTTTTAGACTATAACTTATATTATATAATATTGCATAACCATTTTTATTAAGTTAATAGTAAAACCAAACCACGAGCGATCAAAACAAAAATAAAATATAACGTTAGATATGATTTAAAAAAAGGATTTGAGTCATCAAAACATAGATACTTAATAGGTGGTGACCATAGTTTACCCCCAAAGATTAATTGCTCGCACTAAGAGGGTTTGGTGAAATTATGTCATTTATCCCTGTATTGTGTATAAAATATAGGTTTACCTTTTTATATTGGATTAATTATCCTATTCACACATGAAGTATACCAAATTCTCAATTTCATATATAATGTTTAAAAATTTTAATTTCATACATAGTATTTTTTTCCGTTAACAGGTTTATCCATTTTCATCACAGAAGGTGACGTGGCAATTTTAAAAACTATTTTTAATTAAAAATTAAAAATAAAACTTTATAAAACTTTCATCATATTTTTCAGTTTTCCCTCTAATTTGTGTAAGATCCCAACAATGTAGCGACGACGAGGGGACGAATTGGGTTTTGATCGGAACAACTTGGGGATTCCAGTGGTGGTGGTTGTGAGGCTCACAAACATCAAGGTCGGTCGGAACGACGAAAAAACAACGGTGAATAACTTATTTTTGACGAACCTTCGAAGCGTCTTCCACGGAAATCAACGGTGATTTACAAAAAATTGTCGACTGTTTTTCGTCGCGGAGACAAGGCGCTCCTGATGATGCTGGCAGTGACGATCACCGACCAATTACGACATAGATCGATAACAATGAACTCAAACATTCTCTCATAGATTTCTGACAAACGACGAACGAACAGAGGTAAGCGACAGTTAGGGTTTGATCACGGACCGACGATAGTGATGGTGCACACCACGATAAGCTGGAGAAGGTTGAATGGCGTAGCAACAATGAAAGGTTATTTAAAAAAAAGTGTCACGTGACATTTTGTTAGCGATCATAGGGTTCTACGTCACCTTTCATGACGGAAATAGATGAATCTGCTAATGGTAGAAAACATAATTTATGAAATCGAGAATTTTTAAATATTATGTGTGAAACTGAGAATTTAGTATACTTCGTGTATAAATGGGGTAATTAACCCTTTTATATTTTAATTGGATAACAAAAATTAAATCTAAAAATTTATACAAAATATATTTACTAATAAAAAATTAACTAACAATTCTAACAAACACTATTTGATTTAGGACTAAAATTTTAAAAATTGAAAAGTATAGGATTAAAAACAACCAAATTATAATAAAATGATTAAATCAATGACTCACTTATAGAAGAGGGACTGATATAAGATTTTGACCAAAAGTTCACTTAACTTCATTCAGCGCAAATCTAGGAATTTCTTTCCTTATAAAATCACTTTTTTCATATTGTTTCTTCGTTCTTTTGGCTGCTTCCACTCTAATCCTTCGAGTTATTCAGATCTTTTTCTCTGACCTTTAATTTTGTAAGTATTATCATTCCAGGTTTTTAACGTGCCAGATTATTTAGTGTTTTTTTATAATAATATGTTGGGTTAGTTTACAGATTTGTATTTTGGTAGCATGTTTGCTTTACTCTGTTATTTTATCTAAGTTTCTATGCAATTTAGTTTATAGTTTTACCGAGAAACCTGTTAAATTCTAAAATAAAGTCATTTTCATTTGACGGAAAGCGGTTTTTTCTTTTTTGATTTCTCCATGATTTGTATCAGCTACCGAATAGAACATTTATTTAATATTTTCTTTCTGCTGATTCTTAGATCCGCTGAGCTCGATTTTGTTAGTTATCTTTTACTTTAATTAATTATTATTGCAGATCCCTTGGTTTAACTGCTATTTCCGTTTGTTTAAGTTAGTGTCAACTCTTTTTCCCCTTTTGGTTGCAGCCTAGAATTAATAATTACGTTGGGGATTGAAGTGAATATAAACAAAATGCAGTGGTCCTTCGTTGATCGTGTTCGCTTGGGGGTTTTCTTTCGCGTAATACTCTAATTTTGGTAAGTTTTGTGAACTTAGTTCCATTGCTATAATTCATATTGGGGATGCCGATTGTTTCTGTTACGGTGCGCATTGTGTTTGTAGGTTACATTCATTAAGGAATCTTTTTCTGTTTTTGTAGGTGAAATTTTCAATTGAATTTGGAAAGAAATTCAGTTCATTCGAGTTAGTGCCATTGAGGGGTTTAATAAAATTTCGGTTGGAGAGGTTTGAGAATGTACATTGCAGTTACCATAAAGAGATATCGTGCAGTTAAGGAAGTTGGGAAGATTAAAATGAGCGTTGGTGTTGTTTCTTACTATCAATTAGTTCAAGTTTGTCAGGTAAATTTGTTTTCCTTTGCTGCAGTGTGTTACTGTTTTATACATACATATATATATATATATATATATATGAGTGGATGGTTGTCCTTGGCAATGCTGCTAATGCATACAAAAAGTCTTAAATATATCCATGAGTACCATGTCAGATTGTCAACTACGGTTTTATTTCTAATTTTGCAGTAGCATGATTTGTTTTTAGTTTGAATATTCCTCTGGATTTTTAGTTTGTCAATGTACTGATAAGAAAAGTCTGTCTTGTTAACATTATCTGATGCACTATAACATGTGCATAGACCGAGCGCATTTGTGACTACATATGCGTATATATGTGGTTTTTTTTATCATAGTATATATACAGTTATTATAGTAAAGAAAAAGAAGTTATATACTTCGAGCAATGAGAGACATTTTTCATTGGCCGTTTTTTACTTGTCTTTGCTGCTGACTGTTGTGGGTTTTTGTTAATTGTGAGCACAGCTAATCTGGGGATTGAGTAAACTTACTAATCTGGTGATAGAGTAAACTTATTAACTTTTAACCATTTTATTGGCTTCTTGTGAATCTGTTTATATAGTCATGTAATATCTTACAGATCTGTGGACAAAATGTATTTTTATTGTTGGATAGAGATTCTCTGCGTGCATATTTTATGGTTCTAATAACTTCTTATTTGCAATCACAGGCCGAGTATTTTCGTCAGCTGCTAAAACCTGTTACGTAGATTGGTTATTTGGGAACTCTTGGAGATTGGGATCTGGGGGAGTCTGCCATTTGGTTTCTTTTTACACTTGACCGTGACAAAATGAAATATATGATATTGTTGACGGGAAATTTGGGATAGGCAGCTCTGTCTTTAGTTTAGTCTTTAGTCTTACCATAATTATAGCTTGAAACCTCCTTCCAACTTAAAAGTTGAATAATTGCAAGTTCAAAGACAACTGCAAACTTTTTTTAAGTAGAAAACAGATGCAGAGAGACCAACAATTTTACTCCCAAAAGGCAGTGCCTACGCTTACTGATCAAGTGGGCGATAATTACATGCATATCCCAGTTGCAGCTCCTTTTGGTACGGTTTTTCCTCCGTGTGCCAAACCATTGCCGCCCCTCCATGGCATTGAGTTTCAACCCTCTGATGTTTGTCCCAAAAACTTTGTTATTTTCAATCAGACTGAGAATAGAAATCAGATCTTGTTCAATCCCGCTATTACAAACAAGTTCAATGGTAATGGATTAAATGTTTTTGCCACTTACACTGATGGCAAGTATGAGAGGAAAGATGTTAATGATGTGGGAAAAGAAACATCCTTTTCTCTGAAAGAGGATTTTGATGATATCAATGCCCTACTCAGCTCAGAAGAGGAAGACCAAGTAGAATATGATGATGAAGAGGTTAGCACGGCATGCACCTTTGGAAATTATGAGATCGACTCTGCTGATTCTCACTCTGCTCGTGGTTCAAAATCAAGAAAGAATAGCTTATCTAGTAATCCTGGCAGGTGTGGCCCTGAAATTAAGCGAATGAAAATGAAGAAAATGGTGAAGGTATTAAGGGGAATCGTTCCAGGTGCTGATCAGATGGGTACTGTAGCTCTTCTCGATGAAGCTGTTAGGTACCTCAAGTCTCTTAAGGTTGAAGTACAGCAGCTTGGAGTTGGGAATTTCAAAAATGAAGATTGAATCCTTGATCAAGGTAACAATTTTCTCACCTTCTAGGAGTTAGGTTTCCTCTTGCGTTGCATCCATCTCCATGGCTGGTCTCTATCTTATGATGATATGCAGTCTTAATAAGGAAGACATGTATCAGAATTAATATGTGTCGTATGCATGAATTGTTACTGAAACCTCCAAAGTTCATTTATCGTTCTTTTGAATGAAGTGTAGTGTGTAGCATGAGTGCCGAGTTTACGGCTGCTTTGAATGTTATGTAGTATCTACTTTCTACTCTGCCTGACTTCTGTATTTCATTTTCACATACTTTATGCTTATTTCCAGTTGAATAAATGGTGCATGTTATTAGCATATCAAAAGAAGTGTGAGTGAAGACTAAAGTGGCATATCAAATGTTTTTATTTTTTTAACAATTGGACAACCATGGGAACAAATCATCTAGCTTCCGTTGCTATTTACATTCTCTTAGGGGTATTTGGTTCAAGGATTGATGGGAATCCCACATTCTCATATTTGGTTGGCCGGGAATCTCATTCCCGGTAATATTTTATTACTAATAGTAGATTTTTTTGGTATATTACTAGGAATGTTATTACCTCCCTTCCCTTATGTATTGTAACATTACCGTCGTTTTGGACTAAAATACTTTTAAATTTATTTTTTTTCAAAAATATCTTTCTTCTGTCATTGAATAATAAAAATTCTACGAAGGTTAAATTACAAATTTATTCTTAAATTATTTTAGATTTACAAAAAAAAGTCTATAATTAAAATTTTATATAGAGTTCAGGGGTTAAAAAAATTTACCATTTCATTAAACTTTTTTTATATTTTTAATTTTGTAAAAAAAATTATATAAATATTATGAATTTAATTTTTTAAATAAAATATATAAATTTTTTACAATTTGTAATATTATATAAATATATAATAAGGACAATTAGGTTAAATATACATTCCAATAATATTTTATTCTTTTAACCAAACACGGTAATTTTACATTCATGTTAAACTAATCAAACGCAAAATATAACATTCTCAGTAATCCTATTACTTGATAATCTATTATTCCCACTAATAATCTTATATTTCGTGAACCAAACGCACCTTTAATGTCAAAACATGACAATGACTAATCATCCGGCTGGTATTCCGACCGCCCCGTAAAAATAAAGAAAGATAAAAATCAGCAAAGCACGATGTCAACGGGCAATTTTCAGATTCAAACTTAGCATAAATAACAAGAAAAGTGTTGCATTTTATAGTTTTGTGTTGCTTTCAAGGGAAAAGCAAACCCATATTACCAATTAGAAACAAATTACGCAATGAGAATATTTTGTTTTAATTTATATATAGTTAAATAAGACACTATATCTCTTAAGATCCTTTAATTTATATATAGTGAAATAAGACATTATATCTCTTAAGATCTCTTAAGATCAAAGATCCGAATCTTAATGTTTGTGATTGCTCTTAAATAAAGGACTCTGAATCTTACGTTTATGAATAGATTTATGGATGGAACGAATTAAATTAAAAAAATTACCCTTAAATCCCACAAAATTCGATTTCAGAATAATCGATGGGATAAGTGATCTCATCAATTACTGTGGTTAAAAAAAAGACTATGTTCAATCACTGACTACTTTGGTGGCAACAATTACGTCCAACACCTTGAATTACTTCCCAATATTATTCTCAATTGTAAATATGTAAGTTAATTAACTCTTAAATGCAACATTAGCCTCCCCCTAATACCTTCAAGGTACCAAGTTTCTACTATCAACTTGGTTAGGATGAAATCCAAGGTCTAAACAATCCATAGAACAAGACGTCAACTAAAATTCTCCCATTTTACAAATTATCTACCTTGACTTAGAATACACAGGCCATGCCGAAAACTTCAAACTGCGCACTTCAATGCCGATACCCGAAGGAACAACCCCCCAAAAATAGGCGTATGCCAAAACAAGCTTTGGGCGTTTATTTATAAAGTCATATGGGGCACACTTGCTTATCTCCTAACGATATGGGATTCTCGTCTTTCCAGCATCTGTGACTCTTCAAGTCTTGTTAGTTGGGAATGAGTAAGATCGATTCGAAAAGTTGATTTTCTTTTATTTGACTTAATGTTAAAAAAGTTTGACTCGACTCTAAAAAGTTTTAAATTAAAATTGGTTAATAAAATAGTATTCGGATAACTCAAAAATTTTAGTAATTAATAGATTGATTTTTAATTTTGAGTCGAGTGCTTCAGCTCTGCACGATATTTATATATTACATATGAAAATATATGAAGAAATATATATGTATATATGGTTATATAATTAAATTTAAACATATACTCGAATAATTCGATTCGACTGAAAAAAATCAAATAAAAGTTGAGTTATAAATAAAACAAGTTAATTTAAATAATCCGAAAATTTTCAACTTAACTCAATGGAACACTTAGTCTTTACCTGTTGCCCCCACTTTCTTTCTTTCAACCCTCCATCTTCTGCTAATTTTCCTCTCTATTTTTCGTCCCGCCGAGTTCAATGGTTCGTTTCATATCAACTTATTGCAGAGTTTTGCACCATTCTTTCTTCTTTTGAACTTCTCGATGTTCGATAGTATTAGGGCTCGATTGAATTCGAATTCAAGGTGGTTGTATCTCAAATCGTAAGACAAAGTTTCTCAATTTTAGTTTTTCAATTCAAAAACATCAAACCTAAAATCTTACTTAAGAAACATAATTTTGTAGGGTAAACTACACATTTAGTATCTCAACTATCACTTTTATTCCGTTTTGATATCCCAATCATTTTTTTATTTCAAAATCATGTATAACATTACTTTTTTGTTTCATTTTTATTTCAACATCATCATTGATTTTTTTTAAATGCCACATTAGTGGTTCTATTAAATTTTTAATAGTGGGTGACTAAAAAGAAACTAAAACATAACATTAAGTATGATTTAAAAAAAATAATAGTTAGGTGATCAAAATAGAACAAAAATGATAGTTGGGATACTAAATGTATAGTTTAATCATTTTTTGATTATTAGGTAATATAATATTTTAAATATATATTATAGTCTCAATAATTGACATTATATGACTAATTTAGTGTAATGTTATAGATATTTTAAATTTTATTGTGTAGGAAGTGATGGAAACCAACATCACACACAAAGAAAAAAAAAGAAAAGAATTAGATTTCTTTAAATTCCCCCTTGCACTCTTGTCTTTTCTTGGTGGCATCGCACGCCAAGTTATTCTTGTTTTATCTATTGAACATTTTAATTTGATTTAATAAAAAAACATTTGAATTTGATTAGTATTATTATAAATTAAATTATTTATTTAGCCTTTTTTATAACTTCATATTAGCAGTTAGCTATCATCAAATAATTTTAGTGATTAAATTAAATACAATTCTTTTTTAAAAAATTTAAGTTCGAGCAATTATATTTATAAGATGTGTGTGCATTGCCAATGAATATAAAATATTATAAATAAATATTATTTTATAATTAACTCATTTTGTTAAAAAAATATAACAATATCGACGACTACAAAATTCAAATGAAAAATAATATAAAAATTAACTTCAAAAAATTTAAATATTAAAACTAAAATTTAAAATAGTATGACAATAATAAAAATATTAATTTTTTGATTTACTTAAGCATATGTTAGGTTGGGTTTTCGCCTTTCCAAATTGGCTCGTGTATTCTACCTTTTCATGTGTCATTCTATTTGGATTTAAAGAGATTCTATTGATTTGATTTTTATGATAAAAAGTAATATTCAATCCAATACAAATATAAATAATTCTCATTTTTATCAGATAAAATAAGAATTTAATTAAAAAACTATAAATTTGTAATTATATCTAAATATATAATAAAAGATTATATTATTATTTCGAATCAAAATATTTTTACCATAAAACGAAATCATGCCTAATCTAATATTATATTAATTTTTTTAACATGAATCAAGTGGCTTTTGTGGTTAAAGAGATGATTATTATCTCTTAAGGTCTCAAGTTTGAACACGACGTTTACAGAAGTGTATAAACGTTTATTGTTAAAAGTTTCAATCGAATTACGACAAAATCATATAATACCTTAGGTAAATTATATATTTAATACTTAAATTATTATTTTTATTATATTTTAATACTTAATTTTTTTTTTCAAAATCATATTCAATATTTAATTTAAATTTTAAATTTAGTTCCCTGTAAAAATCCTATAACCATACCTACTTGAGTATTGTTGTTTTCATATTTGTTTATATAGGAAAGGCGGGGAAGTTGATGATAAACGGCGGAGATTGCCTCCAACAAACAGAATCCCTTCTCTCCCCTCGTTTCCCATTATCCGTTTAAGAAAAACCTCTCCAATATTTATAACTGTCTCTCTCAACTCTTCTCCTCCAACCCCCAAAAAACAAAGAAGATAGCAAAAAGAAAACATCACTAAGAACATAACATCAGAAGGCGCAAGTGATGGGAACGAAGAGATCGGTGTCATTCAAGAGGTTGTTGAAGAAAGAGTCATGGAAATGGAAGTTTCTGGGCTCTGCTTTCAAGTGGAAGAGGCTGAGCCTAAACGTCGGCTTCTCTTTCATCGACGACTTCATTTTCAAGATCGCCTCCGTTTTAGAGGCGATCTTCTTGGTATCCACTCTCTGTTTCTTCTATCTCTGTTGTGGCTGTAATTTCTGACTGTTGCGTTTCCGTGATTATGTATTTATCTTCTTTTCTTCTTCCGAGTTGGGTTTGCTGGAAAATGCAGAGAAGAAACTGGGAAAGGTAACTGGGTTATAACTTTCAGCCTTTTGTTGGGGAAAATATATGAAGTTTAATGCAATAGTTTCTTCCATGTATAAAGTTAGTAAGTTAATTCAATTAACTAAGGTTACTTTTCATTTTTGTTATATGCATTTGATTTTCGTATTTGGAATCCATACAAGATTCATCTCAGCCAAACAGATTCCAAATCTGAATATCACTAGTTAAATAATTGGAATCTACCCAGTTTTTGACCTAATATAAATATGTTTCTCCCCTTTAAAAATAAGTTCAAAGCCGGAACGGAACACGCTTTCTATAAATTTTTAGGCCGAGTTTTAATCAAATCTACATCACTGTCAACATATTCTCTTTTAATTTTATAACTTTTTATTTAGATTTTATGATAATCTTATTAATTTATTACAGTCTTAATAATTAAAATTGATTATTACATTTAAAAATTAA